TGAGGCCACTGGCTATTTTTAAGAAAATACAGTTCAAAGTCAAGCTATTTTTACATATTTTCAAAATTTGTCAAATTTCGCGAGCTTGTATTTTGAACTTAGACCACTGAAGTTACATTAAGAAACATAGGATAGAAAATTGGAGGCATATAAAATAAATTTCAACTTACATTTCATTCTCTTATCACGTTTTTCTTCGTTTATTACGGTTTTAAACAAGCCATGGCTCGACGTATACGGTATTTGCTCCCATGTTCACGTCGCCACATTCAGCGGTTCTTCCAATCACTCGATTAAAAAAAAATCATCCCAAAACAAAGAAATCATGATCGACTTTTAAAAGAATAACCGTTAATTTGTAAATTGTTGAATGGAAAGCGAAAAGTAGTCAGCTAAATTCTGCCCGCGATTTTTTGGTCAGCAACGACAAATTTCCCACCTGTTACATTTTGCAATAATTCCAAAAGTTACTTTCGAAACGGTTTTCATGGTCAAATTCAGAATCACCAACTGAGCCTCCAACTTTATTTCGTCGCTACAATTGAACAATTCCCCAAGGTATGAAGCCTGGGATTGTCGTTGAGTTCGACATATACGACAGGAATAGACTCCACTTTACCCCAACGTTTCAGATTTGAGTTATTTGGGAGGCTAAATATTAAAGCTTTTCTTATTTATTAATATTAAAGGGTAAATCTTAAAAGGCTAAATATTAAAGCTTTTCTTATTTCTTACGTTTCTGGGCATCGAGACCGTGATTCTAAATATTAGGCTCAATATTAAAGCTTTTCTTATTTCTTACGTTTCTGGGCATCGAGACCGTGATTTTGTGCCACAAACTCAGTGTGACACCCCCCAAACCCCCCCCAAAGTACAAATCATATGGATTGGCAGGGCAAATCATCTGGATTGGCAGGGCAATGAAAGATTTTAAATGATAGAATGTAGAGTTATTAAGTAGATTCCAGGGCTTCCAGAAGGAATTGAATAGAATTTATAGACCTAAATTTTACAGATATTGGTAAAAAAATAAGGGTTTCATGCATGTTTTAACAGGAATTGGTCCGAAAAAAATTTTTTGACCCTTAATTTAATTGGTTTATGTCCGGAAAAATTTTTTCGCCCCTTTTTTTGAATGTCCGGAAAAATTTTTTTCGACCCACCCCCAAAAAAGATTCTTGCTACAGGGCATCATCGGCTTTCGCAGGGCAATTCTAGCAGATACCCCCTAATTAAAAAGGGCTAGTTTCTCCCCTGCACAAACTTATAAGTTTCGTTGATGATACCGCATAATCGTCGCTTGTGTGCAAGGTATTGGGGGAAATGTAAAGGTTGAAGAAGACGCGGTATGGTTTGATGGCGAAATGCTATGGGGAGAGTGGGAAATAGTGTAGAGTAAATTGGAAACTATTTTAAAAAGCAAAACAGAAGCGAAGCGGATAGAACAGTACACAAGGAAAACATTACAAAGTGAAGTATACAAAGGGACTGATAAGATGGGTCATGAATGGTTATAGTGTAAAATGGATTCAAGAAAGACAGCGTCAATAATTGACATGCAAGAACAGATGGTCGAGATGCGGCCATGAAAAGTTTAGAGGAATAGAAGTGGAGTCAGAGACTCAGAAAAGTGCCGTTTATGTGAAGAGAGAGAGAGTACAGCATTTGTTAGCAGGATGTAAAGTAATAGCAGGAAACGAATATGTATGAAGACATAATAATGCACTGATGGTGATAGCTGTAGCGTGGGCCAAGCAAGAAGGATTGACAAAGAAGGATGCTGTATGGTACAAAATGAAAAGGACGAAATGAACGGTGCTTGAGGGAAATGGTGTCAAACTCTGTTGAGACTTCGAGTATTACATGCAAAAAACAACAACGGCAAGAAGACAACAAGGGGGAATTTCGTTCTCGACCAATCAGCGCATTTGTTGACAATTTCGCTCTAAGCCAATCAGAATGCGTAATTGGTTACTGTAGGTAGTTTCCTTGCGAGCACAGAAAGCCCACTTCCGGTAAAAGCATGCATTTGAACAGAAAATTTAGGGTCTTAAATTAAACTTCGCGAGGGTTAGAATTTTTAATTTTTAGATTGGATTCAACATGACAAGATAAAATAAGAAATATTCTAAAAATTTGCCGCTGGGATTCGCGTTTTATAGCCTAGTTCTAAAATTATCGGCATTCGAACTTTCGCGCTTTTTATACGCCGCTGTTCGACTTCGAATGCCGAAATTTTTAGAAAATGTCTTATTTTACCTTGTCACGTTAAATCTAATAAAAAATATTGATCCTGGCCCCCTCGAAGCTTTATTTAACACCCTAAATTTTCTGTTCAAATGCATGTTTTTACCGAAAGTAGTAACCAATTATGCATTCTGATTGGCTGAGAGCGAAAATGTCAACAAATGCATTGATTGGTCGAGAACGAAATTCCTTCTTGTTAACACCGCGGAAAAACGTCTGGGCATATGCGTGTACTAGAAAAAATGGCGATTTAAATGCCAAATTGTAAACAAAAACATGGCTATTTAATTGTTTAAGGTAAGTGAAACAAACAAACAAAAAATACACTAGACGGGTAGTTTAGACATTAATATAAGTTTTCTAACATTTAAAATCTAAAAAGAAACAGAATTTGAATTAAAAATCGTTTTAGACCGGAAGGCGTGTGAATATTTCTTGAAAAATTGTCGAATACTGAACTTAAGACAAAAAAATTTAGAAAACTATAAAATAGTTAAGCATTTGCACGTGATTAAATTGTAGAGTAAAACATTACCCTTAAATATAGTCAACGCAAAAATTATACATGCTACGCAAAAAACAAGCTATTGACAAAAATGTGGATCACATGAACCTACGAAAAATACCTTTGTATGGTTCAGTTAAAGATACAATAAATTTATCGACAGTCACCTTTGGTTCATTTTCTTGCATAATACTACTTCTTGCACATGTAGACTGTAATTATTTCTAATTTTTAAGTTATCACATTCACTATCCAGCTTGCATTTTCACACATCGAAGTCACCTCATTTTGAGTTTTTGACAACCTTCGGAACACTTGACACCAAGTTCACAAGGCAAACTTCAGTAAAGCTGACGCATGCGCAGACGTTTTTCCGCGGTGTTAGGTGGTGGTATTTGGTGGTATAGCAAAGGCGAGGACACAAATTGGAAAAGTTATACAGAATAACAAGGAAGTTGAACTGATTGGGAGACAAATGCAGAAAACGGTGTTAATTTAGAGACTATGCAAAGTAATTTCTGGGGTAGTACAAACAGAGTAATATAGAAGTGTGACGCAGGGCCTTTTTTAAGGATTTTCCCGTGGGGGGAGGGCATTTTTTGAAGAGGGACCTTTCTGTGAGATAATATATTAGAGGGGGATAGCAAAGGCTGAAGGCCACGTGTGTGGCCGACATACCACGCATGAATATGGGGGTCTGGGGGCATACTCCCCAGAAAATGAAATGCCATTTACTGCATTCTGAGCATTCAAATTTCCTCCAAAATGTATGCTAAATATACTTGTATTTGAAATAAAAGAAGGGAGAAAACGCACAAAAAGTTTAAAAAAAATTAACCATAATTCATCATTACTTATTAGAGGATAGCAATGGCCGAAAACCACGCGTGTGGGGGCATACTACCCAGAAAATTTTTGAAATTTGAAACCCAGAAATGCCATTTCCTGCATTCTTAGCATCCAAACTTGCTCTAAAATTTATGCTAACTATACTTGTATTTCATATAAAAGAAGGCAAAAACGCACAAAATGTTAAAAAATATAGTAACCGTAATTTATAATTACTTGCTAGAAGGGGATAGCAATGGCCGATGGCCATGCGTGTGGGGGCATACTACCCAGAAAATGTTTGAAATTTGAAACCCGGAAATGCCATTTCCTGCATTCTGAGCATCCAAATTTGCTATAAAATTTTTGCTAACTATACTTGTATTTGAAATAAAAGAAGGAAAAAACGCACAAAAAATAAAATAATTATTAACAATAATTTATGATTACTTAGTGGTGGAAAAACGTAACAATTTAAATCGATTTTGTCAAACAAGGACCAAGGATAAAGCCTAAAACATACTTTCCGTTTATCTATTTGTTTTTCTTCACTGGCTTGTTTGTATAGATTTAGGAAAAAGGACTTTTTGCCCAAAATACGATTTCGTGGGGGGGGGGGGCACAAGGGGGACTGGGGGGCATTTGCTCCCCCCCCCCCCCGCTTGGAAAGGTCCTGGTGTGACGTTGCTAATAAGACTAGCAAACTATTGGCAGTACTTACTGTAAACCTTTCTTGCGAATATATTTAAAGGGAAAGGGCCTTACAAGGCTTTCAATAATAATAAAAGCTGCAAGAAACTCCAATTTTAGTATTATCAACCATATTTTAGGAAAGTTCTTCTAGATTTTAAGAAAGCTCAATAATTTCCCAGATTTTAAGAAACTCAATAATCTTATTCAAAACCAGGTTTGAAATAAATCCATTCATTGAGATAATGAATGTAACGTTGATCGGACCCTCTGGATCGGACCATTACGTGCACAAGCATTTCACTCTCTTCATTCTAATATATTAGAGAGTTCTTTCATAAACATGAATTCAGGTCAAAAATAATTAAACTCTTTTTCGTTAATTTTTCGCAGAAACTTATTATAAATACAAGATCATGGAGTCCATGTTGTATATAAGATACGAAAACCACTCGCTATCGGCTTCTGTTTGTATCATACAACATGGTTCATGCTGTATATATTACAGATCTTGTTTTTCCTACAGGTAGATCGTGCTAAATCTTACGGCATTCATGAAAACAAATCAAAATGGTTTTACTTCGCGATTGGAATTGTTAGCATCCCAAGTGCACTTCTTGCTGGGAAGTTTGGAGACATGGTAAAACATCGCGTTAGGTTGACAATAATATGTCTCTTCTTACATGGTATTAATACATTGTTGAGCTACTTATATAAAACTTACATCACTATGTTTATATACTCAATCTTCTGTGGAATCTTTACTGGTATATATAACGCCATATTATGTGTTGCCATATTGGATTGTGTTGGAGCAGAAAATATAGCACAAGCCTTTGGATTTTTGATTGCCTTTCAAGGATCATTTCTATCACTTGGGCCACCTATAGCAGGTAATAATAATCGATCAATTGTTTCTGCCGTAGGAAGCAAGCAAGCAGTCAGCCTAATTTATACAGCGGGCTTATGTATTTTCTAAATTTTCTTTACCGCAACTTCTGGCACAGAGTCATGTTATCCCGCATTTTACTCCGCAGATCGTTGTTTCCTCACGCAACATACCGTAGAATAAGAATGAAGAATATCAGAAAAATTAAAAGCAGTCCTCCCAATTCATATGGCCTCGCTGATGCCTGTCACCTAACATCACTCTGTGTTCAAGAGTAATGTCTGGCAGAGTAGCTTCAGACACTTGCAGGTAGCGCCGCTACCTAGGATCCCAACATCTGACAGGCATGTGATGCCCGCGAAGAATGCTGGTCTTAGTAGTCCTCGCCCGGGAAAATTTCGATAGTGGCCATTTTGAATTGTTTAATTTTCCCGGGCGATGACTACTAAGACCAGCATTCCTCGCGGGCATCAAGCTTTGTGACGTCATTATTCATAAGGTCTATTGTTTCTGCCGTAGGAAGCAAGCAAGCAGTCAGCCTAATTTATACAGCGGGCATTTTTTCTAAGTGTTCTTCACCGCAGTTGCAACTTCTGGTTATCCTACATTTTACTCAGCCGATCGTTTCCTTACATAACATACCCGTGGAATAAGAATGAAAAATATCAGAAAAATTAAAAGCAGTCCTGGTCCATATGGACTCACTGATGTGTGTCCACACATTTTACCTAACATCACTCTGTGTCTGATATTGAGAGGTAAGTTGCAGCAGAAATTGCCTCATGTAACATTCGGGATCAAGATGTGCCGTTCAGGAGTAATGTCCGGCCACAAAATATCCCCCTTTAACAGTTTTAGTTTTAGTTTAACTGGGATTCGTCTTAAAGTCATGTTTCTTTTATATAGTTGTATATTTTCCCCTTTATAGGTTGGTTGAGAGATACAACTGGGACATTCAAACTTCCCTTAATTGTTGCTGGATGTTTTGAAATCCTTGGAGCATTAGTATCCATTCCAAGTGCTACAGTACAGAAACGTGAACAAGAGTTAGGACATAACAGCGAGAACGAAAGTATTGCTGTCATAGGGGATGTAGAAACTTGATTGGGCTCTGGCGATACCCTGTTCTTCTTAAAGGGATATTGTTTGTTTATCTCATTTGAAAGAACATTTTGTGACGTAACATGCATGCGCACATTCATACAATCGAAGATGGCGGACAGCTCACTGATTTATGATTTCTATCAGCATATTTCAAACTGAAGAAGCTGGAAAAATTTCGACATCATTTTAAAATTTCGTTAAAATAACGAAACTATTTTTTTATGGCCGTTTTCCTTTAATGGACAATTAAAAAATAGGTACGCTAAGCGTACATGTAGATGCTCATGGTGATTGCACCTTTGCCAAGGAGTTCAATCAATACTCATTTAAACGACTAGTTAAATGAGGTTAGATTTATAGTATGTCAGATGAAAAATTAAAATGACTGATATATATTCTATCCTCTGGAAAATTTTAAAGAAATGTAAGGCCTACTCAAACAAAACAAAACAAAACAAAACAAAACAAAACAAAACAAAACAAAACAAAACAAAACAAAACAAAACAAAACAAAACAAAACAAAACAAAACAAAACAAAACAAAACGTTGTAAATTATGCCTGCACGAAAAGTTTATTATAATTTACTATCCCAAATTAAGCTCTTTGAACTCAAGAAACGAACTAATATCCGCATGTAGGCACAGGAAAAAATCCCTACTCTGCAGCCAATAGCTCAGGTTACAGACATAGATTTACGCTTTCCTGATGACGTCAAACATTTATAAAATAGCTCAAGTTACCTAGAGGTTAAAACCAGCATGAGCTCCACCTTTGAATTTACTATATGAGTAAATTCTTAAACACGTCCGAATTTATCATTATGATAAATTCGCGGCAAATTTTGAATTTATCATAATAATAAATTCGCGGCACCTAACACTAACACTAACCCTAACCCCAACCCCAACCCTAACCACTAACCCCTAACCCCTAACCCTCATTTTTTTAACTTTTTAAATTTTTTTAACTTTTTTAAAAATCTAACTTTTTAAACTTTTCTTGCTTTTCAAAACTCTTTTAAAACTTTTCTGAAAACTATTTTTTTAAAAAACATGAAAAACTATATACATATATAATATATATATATATATATATATATATATATATATATATATATATATATATATATATATATATATATATATAAATAATAATCGTTGATTCAAACAAAAGTATGAACGCACTGAGTAGTTTAAAGAGTGCTCAACACCAATATTAGTAGAGCTTTATAATTATATATATATATATACATATATATAAAATAAGTGCAACGACTCAACAAATTCCACTAGGCATCTTTATTACTATTAGTTTCGTACCACAAGATGTGGCACTCATCAGATAAATTAGCCTTTAGCTCTCGTTGCACTTATTTAATTATGCTCTGGATATCCATTGAGCACTCTGCCCTACCGGGTGTCCCAAAAAAAAGTACTCCGGTTTGATTTATAATAACTTCTAAACAAGTAAAGCTATCAAACAGAAATAACTTGCATTAAATAGAGAACGGACTAACTTAGATTTTGATATGTTACAGTTGTATTTTACTTAAAAATTCACGGAGATATTAATGTTCAAAATCGGGAGCATATTTTGGGATGTGTCTAAAATTAGCAAAAATCGGCATATCAAATATTAACTCCAGCGTTTGTTTGTTTAATGACATATCAGGCTAACTTGTATTTCAGCGAATTGTCATCAGGGATTGTATAAGGATATGGCGTAGATTTATATAGACATCTTACATCTAAGCTCATTGTTTCCTGAAATATAAACGTTCGTATTATATTACGAAATATAAACGTAAAGTATTTAATAGGTCTTTAATACAAACTTAAAGGTACATGAAAGACCATTCAAGGCAGGCGCTTAAATTTTGCTTAAATAGCTTATATTTTTTATGCTTTTCATGGGTTGAAAACAGAGTTGAATATTTCTCGATTAGAGCAGGATGAATATTATTTTTTAATGAAGGAAATAATACTGCATTTTGCAAATACACATCACAGTATCAACGCTACTATTTTGTTACGTTTTGTTCCAAAAATGTTGGATGTCTCTGGGGAGTTGTTTGTTATGTCTTTGTATGGTTTGATTGTGTTTCATTCTCAGTTTATTCTGAACTTGCCAAGATTAAGAAAAGGCAAAAGAGTTTGGGTGTTCTTAACAAGATTTCAGAACGTTGCAGAAGTTAGAAGAGCTTCACAATTCCATTGTGACAGCATGCCCTAATTCAGAACTACGAACGATCCATGACGATCCTTCGCGATGCAGTGGTCTCATGAAATAAGGAAACGTATTCGTGCTATAGGAACACACATGGATTTCGGACGAATAAATTTTGCTTGTATTTTGTAGATAATAATACTTTGTTTCATAATAAACAATTTGTCAAGTGTAATTTATTTACTGGTAATAGTGCATGTTTCAGTCGGGCAAATCTTGGTTAATATTT